CTCTCTCTCCCTCTCTCTCTCTCTCTCTCTCTCTCTCTCTCTCTCTCTCTCTCTCTCTCTCTCTCTCTCTCTCTCTGATCACTGCGGCACCTTTTGAATCCCTCTGACTATAATTGCTATGTTCACATGGCTTCTGCTTCCTGCAAACGGTTGAAGTGGCTTCTATTTGCTTTGTGGTATCATCCGTCAATGACTTCGAATTTCCTTTTCTTCTAGACGCACTCGTAATACTACGTGATGTTAAGGGACTAGGTAGCTTCGTATGGATTCCGATCGGAGACTTTCTGGTAGGAGCTGGTTGTTGTATTTATAGAGGTTTCTCATATTCTTTGGGTACGCGCTTCGCAGTCCCCTGATGATTCCGCTTCTGGCGGGCGGATGAAATGCTGCGTAGGGACACGCCAGCATGGCACTGATTCTGTGCTTATCTTAAATTTTACTTATCAGTGTCCGATTTTGCACGAACCCGTTTGCCTATTGTGTCTCCATGGCTTTTTGGTTTTTCCTTCTTTCCTTTTCGTGTCATGTGCTTCATGTCTCTTGCATCTATCTCTTCTTTCGTTTTCCATGACCTTCTTCCGTTTTGCCTCTATGGCCTTATGCTGATCGCACTTTCCCTACATCTGTGGTAGCGATTTAACCACTTCGCCATTCGTTGATTGGTGTTATCGCCCAGGGATCTGTCGTCCATCCATTTGGTCGACTTTCCCTCTTCACTGATACGGGTTTATATGGCTTAAGGTCCCCCTCGCTCTTTGCCATCTATCCGTTTTATCTCCCTTTTCTTTTTAAGGTTTGTATGACTTCTGTTATTTTCTATCGTGTTGCTATTTCGTTTCCCCGACAACGAACTTTTTGTGACCCAATCCAGGTTTGTTGGCCGTTTTTGTTGTTTTGTCAGGGAACTCTCTCGCCTATCTGATCTTTGTTCGGATTGCGCTATTCGAATTTTACTTGTATCGGTTTCTTCTGCGTAGTTCGACGATGGCTGACGGTGGCCATTATCATCCTTATGAGAGGGTATGTTACCACTGCCGGCGTCCGGGTCACTTCATCAGGAATTGTCCGCTTCTCCGGCAAAACGAGGGTCTGATTTCCGGAATTCCTGTTGGCGGCTACGGTGGTTCCATCCCTCCAACTTCCTATCCACCCCCTCAGTCTGTGTACTCTCCTTCTGCCCCTCCCCTCAGCCAAGCCCCTCTTCAACTCCCTATTCTGAACCAACCATCTTCTTCTTCCAACGCCATCGTCCCCTATCGATCGACTTCTACCTCTGCATCCCCACCACTCCCTTCCCTTCCACCGCCTGCCTCTTGGGGCCCTCGCCCGCGTTCTAATGACGGAGAAGGGGTGTCACTGTTGAGAGAGCTCGTGAACGATCACCGCGAAGAGAAGGACCGGCGACGTGAAGAGGAAAATCGGAAGTTGCGTGAAGAACGAGCCAGGATCGCGATGGAGGAAGAAAAGAAGAAACTGGAGGCATAAGAGGCACGCCAAACAGAGAAGGAGGCGCGAATGTCCAGGATCATCAATTCCAAGATAGAGGAACTGGACAAGCAGCATCAGGCTAGGACAGAGGAAGAAAGTCGAAAGATATGGAAAGAAATCGAGAAGGTGGTTGACGGATCAAACAATCGGAGGGAAGGTAAAGAACCGGTCGAGGAGCCGTCTGAGAATCGAAAGCGAACCCAAGACAAGATTGAGGGGTCTCCTCCGATGGTCCCTGCGAATGGCAAAGTGAAGATTAGGGATTCGAACAAGGCTGGAGGGGCTACGGCGTGTCACAATGCACAGTTCAATACGTTGGATGTGGGCCTTCTGGCAATGGAGATGGACAATGTCAAGAGGACACAAGACTTCCAGAATGGTTTACTCCGTCGTATGATGGAAATTGTTGAAAAATGGAGCTCCTCCCTCCCTTCTAATGCCCCGAATGTTCCTTTTCCTCCCCCACCTTCTTCCTCCCCCCCTCCACCTCCCCCTCCTCCCCCTCCCCCTCCTCCTCCGTCCGTTCCCTCCTCTTTTGCTCCTCTTCCTCCTCCCCCTTCGCGTCCCCCTCCCCCTCCCCCTCCACCTCCTCCACGTGTAGCTGCTAGTAAACGACCTTCTGGATCGGAGCCAGGTTCTTCCCGGTGAAACGTTGATGAGAACAAGACCCCAGGTGGCAATCGCTTTTCGTCCCGATTGGCTGATCTGTTTGCCTTTGTTGCTGGCAAGCACACACGTGCTCGATCCGCTTCTCCTTCACACCGTGACATGGTTAACGAACCTCTGGGGTTTGACAGGGTTATCCCTGGTAAGAAGGCCGCCGTGGCATCTGCGGGGAAGGAAGGAAGAGCCAAGTACGTAGAAGATCTTAAGAAGGAGCTCATTTCCAAGACCAAGTACCAGTGGGAATCACTGTGCAAGGCCGACAAGATCAAGTACTACAACAAAAAGCAAGTTTTTGCTGACCTTGCTGAAATCAGGGCTCGTGTGGCTTACGACGAGGAGTCGGAGGAGGAGGGGCTCGATGATATCGTGGATGATGCTCAAGAAGAGAATCCCTCTTAAGATCAGCCTGTGTACGGAGATTTTTTGTACTTACCTCTCACCTACGTGCCAAGAACAGATTAAGAGGCGATGATCGCTTATGTTTTGAGGCTTGGACTAGGTTCTTGGTCATCCTTCTTGCTGTGTTTGGTCGAATTCCTTGGGCTAACAAGGTTGTCGGCTCATGGCTTGATATGTTGGAGTATGGGGTCGGATTGTTTTGCAGTAATCTCCCATGTGTTTATGTCTTGATATCTCCGTTTTTTCACGCTACTTACATCGGCTCCACTTCGCTATCTGTCTCTGAAAGATGGTTCGAGCACATTAGACTGGCTAAGGATGGTAGATGTCACCGACTTCGGAAATGGCTTCGTAAAAAAAGTTTTTCCTCTTACGTTGCAATCCCGTTGTTTTTCCCTGCTATTAATGATCTCCTGTTGATCGAACAATCATTTATTGCAAGGTGGTCTCCTGTTTTGAATACTAGAGGATAAACTAGGAAACATGGGTATCAAAGAAAGGGGCGAAGAGAGCGGTTAGCCTATAATAGGATTAAAGGGTTTCTTCCTCCTAATCGGAGCGGGTTCGAAAAACCTGTTAGGTTTTCATTGAATCCCGGCTCAGCTTTGGCTAATCATGTCCGTGATTCTCTTTCGTTAGTCTCTCTATTGAATAAATGTGTATCCCTTGCCACTGCTGTTTCAACCATTCAGTGCTATGGAGGCTCTTTCTTCCTCGATGCCTGGAGTCGGATATGTAGACTCTATGGATGGAGTACGGTGTCATTCAACGGACATATCACACTTCTAAAATTTCTACGTCTTGAGTTCTTACAAAGCGGTATTTTCTTTTTTACCTGTATCCGTCAACATTCGAGTGCTAAAGACAAATGAAAATGTGTGTTTTCCTGCCTTCTCCATGTGTCATGGACGCGACGGCTGCTGTATCGGTTTGCTCTACCTAACCTACTAAAGTTATACAATTCTATTGATCTGTTTTTCTCTGGGTTAACGAGGGGCAATCTGAAGCAGATTCTGGGAGTCGTTATCTCTAGGAAGGCTGGTTTCAGTTGTATTGCACCGTTTGTAGTCCACATTCGGTATGACCGCCATATCAGTAAGCCACAAGTTGTTGAGCTCACCAAGGGCCTTATTCGGAAAAGGGTCAGACTCCAATGCCTATCTGATTTTTTGATCTATCGCCTACGTGTGGTATGGACATCCAACAGGTCAATAGGCAAGCTGATTCACAATCATCGTCGTTTTGCGAAAGATTGCTCTACTGTTTGCTCGTGCTCTAACATTCTGGGTCTTCCACGCAATGATGCTAACCATATCTCCTTCCGGTTCTCTGAGTTCGCTGAGCTTCCCTCTGTGCTTTCCAATGCCAATAATATATGTAGGCCGTGTGCCAATGTTTCTGTCGGCCAAGTCAAAGGGGCCATTATCTCTGGTCTAATGAGGTTGCCAGGAACAAATGTCATGAGTATTCCCCGCACCAAGATTCTATCTTGTTTTCGAACTGAGACTTCTCACCTTCCTTAGAACTATTCGAAGCTGTCATTTCATGGCTTACAAAGATGGATGGATTGGTGTTCATGCCGATAGATCATAATCTAGGTGATACTTATGTTTGCTGCCGTTCCGTGTATGCTATGGCTATGGCTCAACTTTTTTTGAGTAATCCGGGGTACGAGCACATCGATATGAAGGAAGATGATATAATCGAGGAATGTAGGAGGGATTTTGTTAATCTTGGGTGCTCATCTATTGGAAAATGGAATCGCCAAGGAAGTTTCGGCAACGCTTACATTATCCCCAAACATAAAGACATCAATCGATGGCATCCCATTTCTCCCTCTTTTTCGGAACCTGGTATGAAGGTTTGTCGCATAATCGGACGCGCCATCAATGGCCTGCTTTGGGCTCTCCCTCAGTTTCTTCATTTTAATCTTCGTGCTACTTCTCTCTTGAAGCACAGGATTTCAATGATTGACAGGAAAGCTAGTAAATCGCCAGATGGGTTTCTCCTCTCTGCCTCCTTCGACATTAAAGAAATGTTCACTAGATTACCGCACTCGTCTATCATCATGTCTGTGATCTGGGTCTGTCGGTTCTTCAGCAACAACGGCCGCAGCAGTATTCTTGTCAGCAAACTGGGAAACGAAACCAGCTTTTCCAATAAGTCTATGGGAAACAAATGGGTTCGTGTCAGTTTTCTGCAGATCATCAAGGCCACCATTTTCGATCTGGATTGATCCTATGTCAAGATCGGGACAAAAATTTGGAGACAAGTCATGGGTGTGCCTATGGGGAAAAGCTCCAGCCCAGCCTTGGCATGTTTATTGTGCTCCTATAGTGAGTATATCTTCATTACTTCTCTTGGCTGTGACAACAGATTTCTGTCTGGCCTCCGGTTAGTTGACGATGTTGGAAGTTTTCTTCTCTTTCCCCGCAAATCTCTTAAATACGTATCTAAGGCATGCGAAATTTATGACAGCTTTCTATCCTTGTATGACGATAACCTTTCTCTTCTAAGAACAGATGGGAGAGAGGGGGTGTGGGAGTTCTTGGGTTGTATCATCTCGACATCTTGTTCGAATCTTGCTGCCCGATGCTTGGCCTTGATGAAGAATCAAAGTTGTCTACTTTCCAATTCTCTTACTTTCGTTTCCACTCAAGACTTTGCCTCATACGGACCCGTCCAACAGAAAAAGGGGGTTGTACGATGTTACTTGAGCAGGTTATTGACCCACTCCTTCGATAACAGAGGAGTGGGTCTAAGTCTGCTTGCTTTGAGGAAGGAGCTTCGTCTCAAGGGGTTCCCCCATAGGTTCTTTTTSAACAATCTGAAGGGTTTTTCCAATTCCCATCAGGAGATCTGGCAACCTTGGGTGACAATTTTCTCAGACCCTAAGACGGGTAAGATAGGGTAGCAATGTTTAAAGATTTTTGTCTTTTCCGGGTATCCGGCGGCTTTTCGCGTGCCAATTTTAATGACTCTAGACGGGCGGTGGGAAAAGGGAGTTTTGTTTTTCATAATCGGGTGGTAGGGTCGGGTAGTCCTTCGTGCTATGATTTCATACCGTTTTTAGTTTTTAACCCCCCCCTGGACCTCGTCTCTGAGTGAATTCACTGTACCTGGCCACATACACGCCCAAGGTCCTAGGATAGCCTCGTTTGCCCACGAATGTACCTCTACGCTTTGCCGTTTTTGGGTTCTCAACAGTTTCTATATCTGTAGCTCTGATCACTTCTYTGGGTCTCTCTTCTACAGCACCCTTGACCTGACCTCGAGCGGTTGAGTGCCATTACTCCTCGGCGACAGCTTTCTGGTTACAAGATGTCTCCGGTTGCCTGCTTGAACGGTCTCGCRCAGTTCTTCTTTTAGTATATGGTGCTGAATGGTCTTCGACTCAGATCTATCCCTCACCTCTGTCCCTCCCTTCTGGTTCTCTTCTTCTCTTCCTGATTCAAAATCTTCTATCACTATCGATTGGATCTGAGCACTGCGGTACATCAATGAAGCGCGGAGTATGCAACTCGGTGGTGGTCTCACACTTGGATCTGACCTGCTGATTGGCAGCTGTCGCCGTCCGAATCTACGCTTCTCGACTTCAGATACGTTCTCTCTTCCCATCCCTAACCCCCTTTTTTCCCCTTTTCCTTTTCCGCGTTCTCCCCTGTGTCTCTCTCTCCCTCTTTCCTCTCTCTCTCCCTCTCTCTCTCTCTCTCTCTCTCTCTCTCTCTCTCTCTCTCTCTCTCTCTCTCTCTCTCTCTCTCTGATCACTGCGGCACCTTTTGAATCCCTCTGACTATAATTGCTATGTTCACATGGCTTCTGCTTCCTGCAAACGGTTGAAGTGGCTTCTATTTGCTTTGTGGTATCATCCGTCAATGACTTCGAATTTCCTTTTCTTCTAGACGCACTCGTAATACTACGTGATGTTAAGGGACTAGGTAGCTTCGTATGGATTCCGATCGGAGACTTTCTGGTAGGAGCTGGTTGTTGTATTTATAGAGGTTTCTCATATTCTTTGGGTACGCGCTTCGCAGTCCCCTGATGATTCCGCTTCTGGCGGGCGGATGAAATGCTGCGTAGGGACACGCCAGCATGGCACTGATTCTGTGCTTATCTTAAATTTTACTTATCAGTGTCCGATTTTGCACGAACCCGTTTGCCTATTGTGTCTCCATGGCTTTTTGGTTTTTCCTTCTTTCCTTTTCGTGTCATGTGCTTCATGTCTCTTGCATCTATCTCTTCTTTCGTTTTCCATGACCTTCTTCCGTTTTGCCTCTATGGCCTTATGCTGATCGCACTTTCCCTACATCTGTGGTAGCGATTTAACCACTTCGCCATTCGTTGATTGGTGTTATCGCCCAGGGATCTGTCGTCCATCCATTTGGTCGACTTTCCCTCTTCACTGATACGGGTTTATATGGCTTAAGGTCCCCCTCGCTCTTTGCCATCTATCCGTTTTATCTCCCTTTTCTTTTTAAGGTTTGTATGACTTCTGTTATTTTCTATCGTGTTGCTATTTCGTTTCCCCGACAACGAACTTTTTGTGACCCAATCCAGGTTTGTTGGCCGTTTTTGTTGTTTTGTCAGGGAACTCTCTCGCCTATCTGATCTTTGTTCGGATTGCGCTATTCGAATTTTACTTGTATCGGTTTCTTCTGCGTAGTTCGACGATGGCTGACGGTGGCCATTATCATCCTTATGAGAGGGTATGTTACCACTGCCGGCGTCCGGGTCACTTCATCAGGAATTGTCCGCTTCTCCGGCAAAACGAGGGTCTGATTTCCGGAATTCCTGTTGGCGGCTACGGTGGTTCCATCCCTCCAACTTCCTATCCACCCCCTCAGTCTGTGTACTCTCCTTCTGCCCCTCCCCTCAGCCAAGCCCCTCTTCAACTCCCTATTCTGAACCAACCATCTTCTTCTTCCAACGCCATCGTCCCCTATCGATCGACTTCTACCTCTGCATCCCCACCACTCCCTTCCCTTCCACCGCCTGCCTCTTGGGGCCCTCGCCCGCGTTCTAATGACGGAGAAGGGGTGTCACTGTTGAGAGAGCTCG